GTGGGGTCCTGGGTCTGGTTCCCATCCACAGTGCCTTTGCTTTAACCAAATGAGGGGCCTCAGCCACGCATGAATCTTCCTTTTACAAATCCGCAAGGAGACGAACCCAAAGAGGGGAAATAACTTGCTCAGATTGCGCAAGAAATTAGTGCTGGGGCAGGAGCCCTGTGGCCAGGCTTCTAATCCAGAGCTGTTTGGACAACCCCTCGCACCACATCAGGGTCTCAGAAGGAAAGTGTGCTGTGAAATGACGAGTCTGGGCTTGAATTCAAAAGACTCCAAGGGAAAAAGGGTGGAGGAGGTTAGGGGATCTAGGAAGTGATATTGGCAAAATGTGGATGATATTTAAAGTTGGCTGACCGAAGGGCTGGGGTTCACACATCCCAGGCTCTCCGGACCTTGGGGGCTGGCCAGACCCGGTAGAACGACAGACCCCTGTGATGGATGGATGTACAAACCCACCTTGGGCCCAAGCTACCTGTAGGAGCCAGAACCAATGACTGGGAGCTTCAAGGTCTGGGCACAGGGATGCCATCTCCTTAAGATAGGATTTATCCCAAGAGAGGAAGCTCCTACCAAGAGAAAGACAATGACCAAACTAGTCTTCCCATAGGCCTCTAAGCGCATTGCTCACAGTCCCTAGGCACCTCTCTTTACTAGGTAGCACCCTAAATTCAAACTTTTTTAAAAACTGGCTGATTGGGAAAAGATAGTGTGAAAGATGGCGAGGCATTCAGTTAAATGGAGACAACCCTGTGGTCCATTTCTGACGTCTACTGTACATTTCCCAAAAGGATATTCAAAGCAAAAAATTTAGAAATCCATTTCCAAAAAGGAGGGACCCCACTGAGAAGTCTGTCTGTGGAAATGGGTGAAATTGCCCGGCCAGGCGCGGCTCAGTGGTTGAGCATTGACCTAGGATCCAGGAGATGGGGACTGGACTCCAGGTCAGGGCACATGCCCAGGCTGTGGCTCGATCCCCAGTCAGGGGCGTGCTGGAGGCAACCGATCAATGACTCTCTCATCATTGATGTTTCTATGTCTCTCTCTTCCTTTCCCCTCTCCCTCCCTCTCTCTGAAATCAACAAAAATATATTTTTTAAAAAAAGAAAGAAAAGAAATGGAAGAAATTGCCTCAACTTTTTCTCCAAACCCCCACTTCCTTTCCTGGAGGAACCTCTCTCAAACAGGTGCTGACAAAGGTTCTGTGTTTGACCAAACTTTAGTCTGGCTCCTCTCAACCCTCTACCCAAGGCCCAGCCATGTACTTCCTCCTAGAATCAGTTTTATCTAGAATCCTGCTAAATCAGGTTAGCAAGAAATACCCACCCTTGATTAGCTAATCAAACTCCCCATCTCCACTGCCCCCCAGGAGATATCTGATCACCCTGGCCTGCCTTCAGCCTGAATTCCCCCAGACGTCGCCTTCTCTGAGTGGCTTTCCATTCATCAACCCCCCCACCCCAGTTTGCTCCTCAGTGTTAAATCCCCACTTGTTCTGGTTGTATTTGGAATTGAACCCCATACTATACTGGTGTCTCTTTGCAATAGTTTCTCTCTCTCTCTCCTTTTCTTTCTGCAAGTTTGTTGGGTAAAATCCATCTTTACCAGTTTAACTTCTATCTAACTCTGGATCCCTTGAACAGTTTTGGGTTTTTTTGAACAGTTTTTATTGCTGTGACTCAGGTCTGGATCACAACCACCATCAGACCCTCAGCTGAGACAGTGAGTGCAACCTAGACCCTTGTCTCCAGTCTGCTTACCCCTCCCCACACTTCCCAATGTCATTCAAAGGCAAAAGGACTTGAGGGACTCTGCCCAATAATCCAAGGTTTGTTAGGCAAAACATTTCTGGTCCCCACTTCTAGTCCATGCAATATTCCCCTTTTGGCCATCAAAAAAACAAATAAGCAAGGATATGGGTTAGTGCAAGATCTGAGATCTATCAATAAAATCGTCAAACCCAGATTTGCCTTGGTGCCTAATCCTAACACGATCCTGTCTGCTGTTGCTTCCAACACCCAGCGTTTCACAGTCCTTGATTTGTGTTCCGCCTGGTTTAGGATCCCCCTTCGGAAGGAATCCCAATACTTGTTTACCTTCACCTGGGGTGATCAACAATATATCTGGACTATTATGCCCCAAGGCTTTACTGAGGCTCCTCTGCTTCCTTCTTGCACTCCCTAATTGCCAATTGGAGGGACTTAAAATTCCCAGGAGACTACGCTTTAATCCTTCCATGTTCTGACAGCTGTGACAACTCCTCTGGACAATGAACACCTTAAGCCATTAGTGAGAAAGGGCCACAAGATGGCTAGAGAGAAAATTCCACTGTTCTGTGTGTCTGAAACCCGGGTCATGATATTTCAGCTGCAGGTGAACCTGTCTCCACAGACAGAGCCTCTGCAATTCAACCTTTTCCTCTCCCTGACAGAAAACAACAGCTGAAAAGTTTTTGAGGTCTTGCAGGGTACGACGTGAAAGCCTAATTTCTCTATGATTGCCTCACTCCTCTCTGCCATGACTAGGGAAGTATCCCCAGATCCAGGGGTTGGGGATCCCCTACCCAATGATGCTCTCAAGAACCTTAAGGGCCCCCTAGGTTCACCTCCCAGCCTTGGACCTCCCAATTACTCCCTGCCCTTTCCCTTGTTTGTGCATAAACCAGAGGGTCATG